CTTGGAAGTGTGGGTGTAAGGGTGTGAGGAGTGAGCGTGTTACTGGGAAATATCTAGTGGTGCATTCGCTTTTTAAACCATTTCTTACTACCGACTAAAATTCACAAAAAGGATTAGCAGCTCCTTAAGATCTCTACCATTTCTTCGTAGTGTGCATGGATGGGATTCATACTTTTAACCTCATTTCTATAACTTCATCCTCATTGTTGTTGTTTGTTGTTGTTGTTGTTGTTGTTGGGTATAAATCAGTTGTTTCGCCATCACTCACTTCAAACATGACTTGAAGGTTCTTCTGTCACATTTACCTCCCATTCTTTCAACGTGCCGATAGCAGCGCTTACGTCTTCGTGGTTGAAAATAGTGAGTCCTCCTGGCCATCAGGTGGCGTCTCTCTTTGAGTGAGTCACCACGATCTTCACATTCTTAAAGCCATTTCTGGGTCGCACGTTCTACTAACCCTGCTGCATACTACACCTTAATTCAGTGACCAGTAGGAGTTTTGTAACTGGTTCGGCTCAACTGGCTTTAACTATATCAAAGCATGATAATCGGATTCTACCAAAATTCTACGCATCCAGGGGCAAAGTAAAGCAAAACTAGAAGAGGGCATAATGACAGGTTTTTTTGCTGAAAGAGAGTTGAAATGGTGCATGCCCTCTCCTTATGCATTCCTTTAACTGTGCACATCTAGGGAGTATGATTCATTGAATGAAAATGTGCTGAAAGTCAGCTAAGCATACATATTGGCTTTTAGCATTATTTAGAGTGGACTTTTTACTATCTCGTCCTAAAATGGTATTCAGATAAGATCTTGAAGGACTCGGCTGGTTTTACAATCTACTGGCTCCTGACTACATGGCGCTACAGTGCTTGCCTCTCACATCGACTTAACACCCACTGTTTGCTCACACTCACAGGTGCATAATAAAGCAGCCTACACATTCACACACACGTACACATGCTGCTTCTCAGACAGAGCATGCGCTTACTGAGAAACAGTGCCCAACATCTACATGAGAGAGCACACACCACACACGGAGTAGGACAGCCTCCTTGACTCACCGTAAGGCATTTTGTCAGTGACTGTGGTAGTGGTGGTGTTGCTCAACGATTTGGCTTTGTTTAAACAAGCCTTGCCGCCGAAGGTCAACAACTCTCAGCCACATGCAAATACACATGCTTACACATGCTCACATCCGCTTACATATGCAAGTGTGCTCTGCTAATGCGAATTTGCAGCTTGTCAGGCAGTAAATGTCAAGGATTTCTTGTATCAGTCTGCTTTTCAGTGGTTCGATATCGACCTCGAAAAGTGGAGGATCGAGAATGAGGGAAGGACCAATGTAATCTTCCTGAAGGCATCTGCATCTTTCATTCATTTAAAATAACTGTGAAACTGAGTGGTACATACCGTATACAGCTTGGAAACTAAGAGGTCCAAACGGATTTTATTAAGTGATAGAAGTAGGTTTCGCACGCCCTTTTGCACCTAGCACAGTTCACTGACTGACTGACATTGCGACTTTAAGAAAGTAAATATATCATTTAGTCATTGTTAAATCACTTTATTACGGTCCCGAACATACCCACTTCTAAGGCACGCACCCTTTTGTCTTTTAATCGAC